GGTGTACTCGTCAGTGTGTATTTGGAAGAGCTTTTTATACCCTATCTAAGGATGCCTCGCGCGTCCATTTTCGTCACCTCTTTCCCGAGTTATGATCTCTAGAAGTCATCACTTCGACATTGTCCGAGGACTTATGACTCAACCTAATACATTTCCTTCCTATATATAAAGCCGTAACATGGTGGGTTGCTTAATGGAGTGAGCACTGCGGAGTGAAGTGGAAAATATGGAGTGAAGTGGGTATTTCAAACTGATTTCGATCTGTACTGGCATCGTCCTATATATGTACGTCTATACAAAAATTGGAGGTGATGATGAGGTTAAGAGGCCTTCTCTTTTTTTAACTTTGCACGCTATAGCGCAGATAAGGAGGTGAGCCTATAATTGAGCTCAGGAACGTTTCTTAGTCAAGAACATACAGTTTTGTGACCTGAGCTTCAGAAATGAAGAAGCACTGAGTGGTTGAGGTGCACACCCTCACCCCAGCACCAGCTATAATACATTTTCTATCTATTAGGTTGAGTCATAAGTCCTCGAACAATGTGATAGTGATGACTTCTAGCGACCATAACTCGGGAAAGAGGTAACGAAAATGAATGCGCGAGGCATTGTTAGATAGAGTATGGAAAGCTCTTCCAAATGCATACCGAAAAACGCACCCATCTATTTCCTTTCCCGCAACTGTGCCTCATGATTTCAAGCCGTCGCAACTCCTTATCCGCAACACCATCATATTTATTTTTTATCGGGCCATGAACCCGCAGCAATCGGTAGAGGTATGAAGGACGTTCACAAGCAGGACGTGTACAATTTACAAGTGACACTAGAAGTTCGCATCGGGCTACTATTTCATCGAAGATGAAGACCGTCCGAGATGCCCAATGGAGTTGGATTTGGACGTGCTGTGAAGCCAGGTGGAAGCCGATCTTTATCAAACTACTCCTGAAATGGCAGTCACTTTTGAGAAGTCAGTCCACGGATATTCCTGGATTGAAGTCGATCGAAAAGGTGTGAAATCTCGGCCGATGGGTGCCGCATGCTTTGAAGCAGTATGACATAGACCGCCGCGAAGACGTGGCACCTTCTCTCCTCACACTCAAGGGCACCACACGTGACCCGAGTACCTAGTCACCAGGGTTGCGAAGTTGATCCTCTACTCTAACGTTCACCGGCGTGCTCAATGGATTGGCAAAAATGCGGATGCAAAAGACTCTCCCAACCCAACGTACACGCGGAGGTTATGCACTGGTTCTGGCGGAGCGTTCAGTGTGTTGAATAATGGGAGACGCTAGACGAAGGATGCACAGTGACCGCACACGTCTCCGTTTCGCAAGAGAGGAATTTGAAGGCGAATCCCGAATGTACACGTCCACAGCAGCACAAAGTTTACTTCCAGCACGACAACGCTCGCCTTCACATTGCAAGAACGACCAAAACTGAAGTAACGAATTTCGGTAGGACAAGTTTACCACACCAGCCATGTTCCATAGACTTGGATCCCTCGGACTACCACCTTTTTCCCCATCTTCAACGTCATCTGGATGGTCAAGACTTTCNTATTGTCGTTTAAAAGTTGTAAGATAAGTATTATCATTGCCAATTGTCCGAGGACTTATGACTCAACCTAATACTTCGTAAAAAGGGAATGAGGCCCGACGTAAACACGCGACCGGACTGCTACATATATCTCATATAACATAACAAGCACAAAAGTAACGCTTTATGCCGACAATTAAAGTCAGAGAGATTGCAGTTGTTAATTTTTATGGCTGATGAACGCTTCCGTTGTTTTATGTTGATACCTCTGCTGAACCAGGCCGATTTTTAGTTTTCGTTTCCCTATCTTCTCCCGATTTGTTGTCTTTAGCTTCTCCTGATTTCACATCTTTAGCTTTTCCAGACTTCTCATCTTTGCCCTCTGCCGGTTTTGTCTTTTTTGATTGAGATTCACCCATTTTGATGTCCTTCGATTCACCCGATTTGATATCTTTGGAATCTCCCGATTTGTTATCTTTTGATTCTCCTGATGCAGCGAGTTCAGGGGGTTTTGCCTGAATATTTTTAATTTCGTTGATTGTTCCTAGATGATATTAATAAAAATTATGCTGGATCTGCTTAACCGACCTCTTCACGCTTCCTGCGCATTTCTTTCTTCAGAATCACAAAAGATATGATAAGTACAAGTATCAACACTACGGCTACTCCAATTATTACCAGCAAAACAACTAAAAAGAGAATGAACAGTTCCAGGAAGATTTCAATCTCATTGAGCATTATCGTTACATATACAGTGAACTTCACTCTGTGCCCTATCGATAGGCTGAGGAAGCCGGCGACGCCCACAAAAGTGGTGCAAAATTTTTGATCTTCAAATACAAACTATGACAGAATAACTCGTACAGTATATACGAGTATCCGTCGGAAAACCGGGATGGCGAAGTTCGATGTATAGGCTTCGGCAAAGAAGTAAGTGGAAGGTCAAAGTTCGCTGTCCGTACAACTGTGCAAAGCAAAATGAACTTCTGTAGAGTAAAAACCGAGAATGATTCATCGGGAGCTGAGAAAATCTGGATTTCGAGAAAAAAGTTATAGTGGGAAAAAGGTTAGTTTCGCAGCAACAGTTCGAACTTCTATCGTCAGCACCTTCTGAACAGAGAAAAAGAAAAAACTGCCTGGCTGTAGGAGTGCACTGGGATCAGGTTGAAACAATCTGGCAACGGTCGCGACAATGAAGGAAAAGGCTCTCCCAAATGTCGAAGAAACCTTTGCCACAGGAGAATCAACTGACTGTTTCCAACAAGAAGTGCAGCTCTGATGAAATTCGAAATTTCGCAACGGACTTGAAAATGCCTCACGGAAATCGCTTGCAGTTCAGAAACAGAAGAACGGAATCACTTTTTAAAGGAAATTCAGAAAAAGAAAGTGAGAACTGGAGCAAAATAAGCTTCCAAAACACGTAGCTAAGCAATAGTGTAGTGAATTCGACAGAATTGGTAGGATAAAAATTGTGTTGGAGCACATCTGCGAATTCTAAAGACAAGCAATAATCCTGTCGGAGAACAACGCGTCATTAAGCCGGGGGAAAAAGTAAATGGAAATGTGTTTTTTAGAGGCAAATCAACAGAAGAAGGAGTGAAGTAGACGTGACTCAGGCAGTCCAATCCGTTTGGGCTGTGTGCACGGGAAAGTGGATTCATAGCAGCTGAAGGCCAGGGGACATAGGACTACCAGAAAGGTCTAGAACGTGCCATCTTTGTAGCCAAACAAGTAATTGAGAAATACCGAGAAAAGCGTAGGCTCTGCTACGTTGTCTTCCTCGATGTGGAGGAGGCCTGAACCATTAATGAAAAGGGTGCTGGATTTCGAGGCTGCTTCTTCAAGAAAGAGGTCGTCGAAGCGGAACTCGAGGCAGAAAATACCATAGATAGAAAGAAATGTAGACAACTAATAAGAACAGGGGATCCTGCAGCGGCGCCGGACTAACGTTATGTGGGAAAGAAGAAGAAGAAGAACAGCTGAAAGGCAGGGCTGAAAGAAATGAAAGGTCATTGCGATGTTAGTCCTGGCCCCAATCTTATTGGCAATGCTGCGAATGAGAGTGAAACTTGACGTACTAAGCAAAATTCCATAACCATCCTCTTCTTCTCCATGGATCATTTCAAAACGTCCACCAGTAATGTCATGAAACCGTTCCTGCTCTTCTACTGGGATCGCAAATTCTGTAGATACCACAATGATGGGTCCAGAGCCTCCCGACATAATTTTCTTAAGTGACGACAATCCAACATTTGTCAAGCCTTCATTATTCGAAACTTGCAGGGCAGGTGCTGAAATTAGTTTTCTAGAGACAAGTTCACACTCTCCAATGGAGTATTAACCACAACTGACTTTAGCGTCATTGAACTTTTAAATTTCCCTTGTCAAAGTTCCAAAATTTTAAAACCATCCTAATTCCAGTCATTAGACAACTGAACATATCTGCTATACAGTGAAGGCGGACGTCTGATGCTGAACAGCTCCTTAGCAATAAATTTTTCGTTGTTTCCGTCTACACTCGTTTATGGAGCTTGCGGGACCTGCTTCTAGCCTCAATCTCAGAAAGGTAACAAGTGGCCGCTGATTTTATTCCAAGCTGTAAGGAAGATTATACTTATAGAATTGATTAAAGAATTGTGTAGAAGCCGTGGTAGACCCTAGAAAGGTACCCGTAGTTTTATGCCACATTCGAGGTGGTATGCTGTACGTGACGTTGTCAACGCTTCCGCTAAGCTTCCGCTGTCGCGAAGCTTCGGACATCCGTGTCCGAGTTTTAGCTGAGGTCAAACACCTACTTATCTCTGTGAATCGATAATACAAAGCATTAGGCCTAGATGAACGCCCCATGGGATGTAATATGCTGACCACTTAGATGGTGATAAGCAAGTAACATTCCATCGGGCATTCCATCTATGATACTGCGAGTGGTCTGCGGTGGCCCAACTGGAGTAAGAGTGCTAAGGTCTTGAGATTTTCAGTTTGATATATCAGTTGTTTTGATATTCACGTGAAGCCTTTGAAGCACTACCCTTCACGTACAATGATTTCATTAGCTCCACAAGTATTCCGTAAATGGAGTGGTCGCAGCACAGAGGCGAGGAGTATTGTACAGACTCATCAGTCCAGCTCAAAGGTAGATAGTCATGTTGTTGTGCAGGAAACTTTCTCCTGGTGACCACAGCATTGCGCCCTGCTCCTTACACAGTTATAGTGTGAAGAACTTCACTCTACAACTGTGTAAGGACCAGGGCGATGAGCATGAGCTAATAGCTCTCATTTTTCTGCTGCTCTCATGTGCTACTACAATTTTAACCGCTTCTGTAGATTGAAAAGGAAAGTTCCCTCATACCATATATATTTCGCTGGAAGGCTATTAGCTATGTAGGTTTCAGCCCCTCTCAATGATGAAAGAGGGCCTACAATAGTCTCTTCAACGCTCGTTCGCCCCTGGATAAGAAGAACGTTCCTATCCGAGTAGCTAGTCTGTTGATCACTCCCATTTTGAAGTGACACCAAGCTCACGTTCTTCAATAGGAAGCCAACTTGGACGCGACGAAAAGGAGTGTATATGGCAGCATATCGAAACTATTCAACACCGTACTCTCATCACACTGAGGTACTTCGAAGCTTCAACAAAATGTGCAATGCAGCGAGATCTTGCAGTGCCTTCTTACACTTTTTTGGTTCTATTTGTAAACGAAAGGATTGATGCTGACTCTCTCTCTTTTCGCTGCAAAGGCTTTCCACCCTTTGAATACATCATGGAATGTGCTACATTTCTCGATGGGCCACCACCAGTTTTCGACATCTCGCTACCTTCCACTCTTTTCTAATTCAGTCTGATGTGAGCAATTGACGATATTACTTAAGATCGTACGATCATCACACTGAGGTACTTTGAGACTCTACCAAAACGTACATTGCGCAAAGCTCTACTATTTCTCGCATACAATGAAATGCTAGAATACAATTCTTACTTTCCGATAATGAATTGTCGATCTCTTCGAGTTCATCCAAAAATGATACCGATTCGAACCCAAGATTATCCTCGAAAAGTAGAGCACCGTTCATGATTTTCTTTACACGATTAAAGCAATCAAGTTCTTCTTGTGATACTGCAAATAGACTAGTGTGACAACTATCAGTATATCGACTCGAGAAATCACGACCCCACACGATTAATAAATATTTCCAGTATTCAGGTCACTGTGATCACTATACACAAAACCCTACCAGCAGTGTGAGAAAAATCGCCTCAAAGTTTCAATGGCGCATCATTTTGGGGCTCTCATTTTGTGGCACGTGTGTCGGTGTGTGTTTGTATCGGTGTGGCAGTGGTGGATACATGTAGATAGCAACGTTTGGCAACAACTTGGGAAACCTACCGGCTAGACTTTTTAATATCAGAGTTCCGTTGATTATGGTACAAGTTTTACTCCTAAAATATTCCATGAACTCGTGATCCACGAAACCACCTCTGCATGGCTCAGCTGAAACAGTATTTTCATAGCGGGTGTTAAACATATGGAAAGGTTCAAGAACTAGTGGTTTTATTAGGCTGTGGCAAAACAAGTGCGAGTTTCATGTCGCAAAATATCATTTCGACGTTCGTTCATTGTCTTCCAGATGGATGCTTCTACATATTAGTGGTGTAAAGGCTTCTATTGGTGCTTCATCAAAAACTTGCATAATTAAATTGTATCAAAACCATTATGAATAAACAGTCCATCGCGTCCCCTTTCTGCCTGAATATGGGGTTGATGGTGCTGCTCTCCCAGGCATCTGGAATTCTTCCTTCAAAGATCACAGTGTTCAGAAATCGGGTGAGCCACTTAATCCCGTGTTCTCCAAGCGCCTTCCATGCCTCGAAAGGGACCCAATCCGAACCAGTTGCTTTTGCAGCCTTCATCTTCCCCTCACTCTCGGTCAACAGTGAGACTTGACCAGCAGTGGCTTCTAATTGGGGGCTGTTTTCACGGTGGGATTCTTCCTTTGGAGCCTGCCGAAGTATTGACTTCACCATGCTTCCTCAGGATTGCTCTCTCCGTGTTCTTAACGGACTTCACCACCCCGATGTCTTGAGTAGCCCGGTGTTCGCCAGTCTAAAGACGATTTTCTCTTCCTGTCGGCCAACGAGTTCCTCGTACATAGTCCATTCCATTTCCGTCCATTTCCGCATTTTTTGCTTTTGCTGCGATAGCCATGGTGAGCTTCATGGAAATCCTGCAGGCAGCCAGGTCTCTGGGGGCGAGAGTCTTCTGCCATCGCTTATAGGCGACCTTCTTCTGTCTCACGACTTGCTGGAGTTCATCGTGTCAGAACCATGCTTCTTTGCCTCCTCGGAATCCACCTCGAGTTTTCCCAGCGTTTTCCTCGCACACTGTAGGATGACTTCTACAATATTGCTACAGGTCTGCTGGATCGGTGTCTCGGTATCTGGGAGACCAGTATCTTCCGATTGAGTTCCTCTCTTTCGGCTTGGTGCAGCCTCCAGCACCGTTTCTCCGCTCCGTTTTCGTCCTTGATTTTTTGGGAAGCCGTATGGCTATGGATGCTAGAAGGGGCCTGTGCTGCATAGCCAATCTTCGCCAAGCACTACCTTGATGTCCTTAACAGTTTTCAGGGACGATCTTCTCACGAGCATATGATCTATTTCCGTCTTTCCCTCGCTGTAGGTTACCTTCTAAACTTCCTTTTCGAGAATAAAGTGCTGCAGACTGCCAAGTCATGGGCCATCGTCGAGAACCCTATCTCCTTCTTCGTTTCTAACTCCTATTCGTCTACCTCAATGGCTGCTTTCATAGTCAGCCGGCCGGCCGGCGGACTATGAATCCTCTCCTTTGGTGAGATAGCCCCTTTCCGCAGCTGATATGATGGTATCATCGAGGTTCACATAGAACTCATCTTTTTCATGCTCGGGTCGGCCGACATGGGTGCGTACACGAATATTATTGTCCAGTACTCCTTTTTCGTGTCTATCCTTATTGTCATTATTCTACTGCTGATCTTGCTGATGGCGGAGACGGAGCCCCTGAGGGACTCCGATACTGCTATATCCCATTTCGTATGGTGTCAACCCCATTGTAGTAAAGTTTCACACCCTAACCGATTTCCCTAGCCTTTGCTCCTTTTCAGCGATTCTACTGAAAGCATAGGACTTGGATATTCCTGCGCTTCATTAGATCAGCGACCTCAAGAGACTCCCCAGAAAGCGAACCCACATTCAGGGTTCCAATTCGAAATAACTTCTTTTGCCGAGGTCGCTCACTCTTCGCATACTGTCCACAGAACTCGGACAGGGACCCTGTGCGCAACTTCCGGGTGACGACCTAGCTTTGACACTTACACTTTTTGAGACTTCAGACTTGTTTGGGTTTCTACAGCAGCAGGCCTGTCAACCTGGGGGTGGCGCTGGTACCGATACCATTTTTGCAAATTTTGGAAGGCATGGAGCTGCCTCAGCAGGGTTTGAACTGGCACTCCTTCTGGATGCAGACGTAGCCTACACTCTTATCCACTAGGCTATCCCTGCAAAGAATTTGGAATGTTTCACGGATTTGCGTGCAAGGGTTAACGTTTTGGCAATTTCGCCTACATCAGAGCCTGGAAACCGGAAAACCATTTGAGTTGATTCCCATATCAGGCAACTCCAAACAATAGAGCAGCCTTAGGGTTGTCTTGCCTCACAAAACAGTCACTTTCGAACGACTTTTCGACTTTCGTTCTCTGACAAAAGCAATCTTGCCGAAATGTTAGCTCATAAAGTTTAAAACCCTCGAAAAAGCCGTCGCAAGCATATATACCAATCAAAAGTCATTTATATCACTCTTTTAAATACTTCACATAGAAGAAAATGTGGCTCACCATCTTCATTGGCAGGACCTCCACAAAATTCTTCGTCATATCCATGTCTTGTTATTCGGTAACCATTACTTTGACTGAGTAAAACTTCGACTGTCCAAAATATGAGAAGGCTTCTACGCTACAAAATTTTCATAAGTTCATCGAAGTCGGGCCGCTATCCAATTACACTATCTAGTAACGCGGTATAAGTTGCTACACTGACCATCAGCCGGTAGCGCCTGTAATGAATGAGAAATAGCAACTTCTCTTCGGATGGTCTTTTTTTGTACAAACATAGCCCCTAATATCACAACCTCTATCATTCATAAAGCAGTAACTTTGTGTGTCAGTTTGTCGGTTTGTCTGTCTGACCGTCCACAAAACTTTATGGTCACGATAAGGGTAGTAATATGGACAACCCAGCCTCATTCTACATTTCCTCCTTATNCGGTAGCGCCTGTAATGAATGAGAAATAGCAACTTCTCTTCGGATGGTCTTTTTTTGTACAAACATAGCCCCTAATATCACAACCTCTCTCATTCATAAAGCAGTAACTTTGTGTGTCGGTTTGTCGGTTTGTCTGTCTGACCGTCCACAAAACTTTATGGTCACGATAAGGGTAGTAATATGGACAACCCAGCCTCATTCTACATTTCCTCCTTATATACAAAGCAGTTACTTGGTGGGGTCCTTCAAAGCTGTGATTTCGATCTGTACTGGTATCGTGCTATGTATATCTACACAACGATGTGAGTCAATTGAATATTCAGTTCGTACCCCATCCTAGTTTTTTCCGCGAGTTAATCACCCCCACCCCATCGCTTCCCGCTTCCCCATGTTCTTCTGCGCAAGCTGGGCCACCCGAGTGGTTTATCGTAAAGTGCGGTCTTGTCAATCTAAATCGTACGATTTCTTTATTGAAACAGGGCAGTAGACAGTATAACTAGGGCCTGAAGCAAGGTAGCCCCAGCTGCCGGTTCTAGTTCTAATGCTTACAGAGGAAGCACTCTAATATGAATGACCCCCCAACAGGATTCCGTTGTGGGAATAGCTATGGCGCTCTAATTCAATTTCTGGATTGCAATTATTTCCTTCACTACTGCTTATGACACCTAATTAATGCGCTTGGACTTACCATCGAAAATGTCGCACTTACTGTACCTAGAAGTGAGTGCCCTTTGGGAACGAAAACAAAGCTTACAAGGGAGCTACCAAAAAACCATGCTGATCAACCATTCTACATGCATCGATTGCTGCTTTTCAAATCTGCTCAATCGGATGTCTATGCAGGGTTTGTTGCTGTAAAAAGGTGTAAGTTGTAGTAAAAACAAAAATAAGGTTACCTGCACAAAGGCGCTGAGCCTCCAGAACATGACATCTGGAACTCGGCTTACAACCTTTGAACAAGTAAACCATCATGTAGAAGTTGTCAATTCTGATAGCTTTCTCATAGCTCTTCAACAATAGCAGAGACTACGACTTAAGCGCCTCAAGGTTTCCCTCTTGTGTAGGTTTTTGAGCAAGCCTTGCTAACCAACCTTCTGCAATCACTGGAGAAATTTCGGCAGTATTAGCAAAGTTTGCTCCAACTTTATACATAAGAGAAACCTTGTGTTTGGGTCGTAGCCTCTGCTAAAGTTGACGGAAGCTATCAGGAATCACAACTGCCATGGTCTTATATTGTTCACCAGCCAAGTTCCTATCAAGAACCCCTGCTCGCCTGTGGAACCACACCCCTACGTCCGTCGGTACGATTGCGAGAAGTCTTATAGTCATAGCCGGAAGTTAGTCCGAGCGATTGTGGAATTTCCGTCTACAATGCACCCTTGCCTAGAAAACTTCCGCTACCTGCAGCTGCAACAGCCTTCCATCTTCTCTGAATGGGAAGATTTTTCCAGTATTTGTATTTGTGGGAGTTTTCTTTACTCCAGAGTTCCTAAAGCGTACATCAGAAACAGGTACCTTGATCTTGCAACTCTCCAATCCCGGCGCATGGTATTTAACGTATGCATGGTTTATAAGCTCTTATACCAATCTGCAGGTCTTGGTCCATTTGACTTCTTCGAAATCACACCATCACGCACTAGAGGCGGACAAGCCAAAATACATTTGACTTGTCCAAGGACTAGCGTTAAGGCCAGAAGTTTTTCGTTCCGAGCCGCGAGCACTTATAAAAAGTTGACGAAGAACAGTGTTTTACCCGGAACGCTGAAGCACTTTAAAAAACAGATAGCTGCTAAGCTATTAAGCTATGTAGCCTCGTAGTCGTTCGAGATTGATTGTCTTTTATGGGGTGCTTAATTGTCCACTTCCTTAATTTCTGAATGTTTGGTAATGACGGTTAATTGTGTCGCGTGTATCCTATTTGTTGAGTTTTCGTTTTTGCTGAAATGCTATCGGTTGTATTTTCTTACGTCCGCCTTACGCGCCGTAATAAACATACATACATAACATACATACATTTGAAGGCGAATCTCAATAGAAGATGTTCTGCGGGGTTCTGAACTACAGATCCTATCCCGAGCAACGTAAAGCGCATTTACGACGTGCTCCCCAAAGCTCTACGCCCTCCACTCCTTCCCTATCCTCCCACCCTTTTGCTGCCTAATATCAGGGGCACCACTTGTTGACACAATGAACGAACTGAATTCAAACTGAAGCAAGAAGTATAAAAGGATAATGTCTTGAAGCCTCAATCAATCCTGTCCGAGGGATGCACTCACGCATTCGATTTCCAGAAAAGCTTTCGAAATAGAGTTTTAAAAATTCAAGAAACAACACATTGCCCTCATAGATTTATCAAAATGACAAGTTTCAAAATAGATGAATTTCCAGGAAAGGTAAAGTCACGATGAAAGTTGTATAAATAATTATGAAAAAAATTGAAAAGGAAAGACCAGTAAACAAGCAATCCAAAGCCATGAGCTACATACAGACACCTCGAATGAAATAGTAGAGCAAAAATAAATTAAGACTGTTTAAAACATCTGCACAGATACATATCACTCTCCTTCACCCTTTCTTTTCATGCTCATGGGGTGGTACAACATTTGCGTAACCTGTAGGATACACAAATGATTGAGCACTTGCCTTTGCACCCAGTAGTTGGTCCATCCTCTTGGAAAACTCACCAAGGAGTTCTGTTCTAACGTAACAGTGGATGCATTCGTATGCTGTAAGGGTACGGATCCTCAAAACATCTGTTTCCACCACTTTTGTACTTCTTCCTTGTAATACTCTATCTAGTGTCGCGATATTATCGTGATAGATATGACATGCACATGCCCTCAGTTTTAATTAAAACACTGTTCAAAGAGTGCGAAACAGAGTTCGAAAATCGAATAGTATAGAAGCACATAAGAAAGCATGCGAACCGTAAAGAACAAAATACAAGGAAATAAATAGACAGAATCATTGATTAGCTCTCTTAATGTAGACCATATACTTTCAATTTGGCATCGCCAATTTCATCGAACGTTTTTGTCCGTTCGGGACTTCCGCGCGGTGTTCTGAGTAGATCCTGAAATATCCGATAATAACGTCACAGTTTGGTCTCAAGCACGTAGCAATCACTCAAAGGCTCTCAGCGTTATAAAATCAGTAAAAGTCAATGTATAATTACACGAATCAATCAAATATAGAAAATAAGAACAAAAAAAAATCGGGTTTGTAAGAGGACCTGAATATGCTGAACCAGAAGATCAATCGCAACGTCATTTTCACCACCTCTCGGAATAATTACATCTGCCCACTTCTTCGTAGGAAGGCAGAATTCTTCAAAAGCAGGTTTTACCTTAACAAGGCAATCAGCTCTTAATATACTGCAACACATAACGACAAAAAGGCTTTGTCATTACAGCTCACTAATCGCAATATAACCCGATTCTTCGTGAAAAAATCTACACTTTAAAGACAGAATGGAATCACGAAATCAGTTCTGCAAACACTGCTAAAAGTAAACTTAACACCACAGTATCAAAGTGAGGTTCCGAGCCCTTCGGAAGAAAGATTTCCGCACAGCTTCCGATTTTAATGCATAACAGGAAAAAATAGTATGCCTTAGACCTTAAATTGACTCTCATTTTCATGTTGGAGCACAACGCTCCATGAATCACTCATTCTATTCCGGCATTTTTCAAAAATGAATCATTCATACATGCCTTACCAAGACATTATATTGCCTATACTAATGTAAACATGACCTTGGATTGTCGAGTCAGTTTGTCAGTTTCACTTGTCAGTTTTTCTGAGAAGTTCAGAAACACATGCTTCATATAATTAGAAAGACGTTTTTCATGACGGTACACCGGGAAGCAAAGTCTGGCTTGATTATTATTATAAATTCCAAAAAAGAATCTCCGTCAAAGTCATCTTCGAATATGTTACAAACAAAAGGGGAACTGACTTTCTTTGTGTACTGGTTGAGAACAACAGAAAGTGGTCGCTTGCGTTCCACTGTGTCGCGTCGGACTGAAAAAATAAATGTTAGATTCCTCTGACTTGAATTGAAAAGGATTTTTCCCTGTAGCTTTTACTCGAAACAACAGAATCTGGAAAACTCTCAAACCCGTTAGCAGGTGCGTGAAGGTGCCAGTAACTTTGCGTAGGGTCTAATTTTACATTGTAACATCATCTACATATATGTAGGCCACCGGGATACCCCAGACGTTATGGCTTATCGCAAGGCAGGAATTAATCATAACTATTCACACATTGTGCTCGAATTTTGCTCATGGTCTTATGTAATACCACAAGGGAAATTTGCATCCACATAAAAAATCAAATACCAGAAAACTGACCACGACGTGCTAGGCGAATGTCAGCGTCCGCATCAACGAACAGTTTCATAGCGAACTTGTTTCGAAGACGTGCATCATAAAAAATCAGAATGCCTTCCACAATAATCACATCAGCCGGTTCTATACGCAGTGTCCCTTTTCTTAAAATCACCGGTAGAATGCAACGAGACCCAAACAATCTAGTGAATACAAAGTTATGTTCTTAACGCTTCATCAACACATTCCAAAAAACCTGAGGGCTTACCGCGTACTCGTCAAGAAGTCGTACTTCGGAATCGTCACAGCTTTCCCCTGCTCCAACTGAGATATTGTTTCCGTCAATTTATCGAAGTCGAACGCAGCTGCAAGTGACACAGATTTCGGAAAGTAGCACTGCGTTAATAGAGTTTACTCTGAGGACTTTCAAGCGAAAAACTTTTCCAGGAGATTTTCCAGGAACTTTTCCAGGCAACGAACCCAACTCGAGTAAATTAGCTCGCAATTCGCATAAAGCTTCGCACGTTCGGCAACAGCGATAAAAACACTAAGCCCTAGACTCTAGCACTAACTACATCACTCTAAAAGACAAAAGTCCCGATAAGTCGAGAAATGTTCGCAAACCACAATCTTGAAAACTTCGGAAGTGGAATGTCACATTACTACAACTGGGAAACTAAACTTGTACCAAGTGATTGAAGTGAATTAGGAAAATATCAAACTAATATGCTAGAAAGAGTGTACTCACACAGTGTGTGATCATAGAGAAGACCACACGAGTAACTCAACATCAAGTCGAAAAAATAACCAACATGGGTGATCGAAGTCGTACTCTCCTAGGGCAGCTTTCAATCGCTCTTCTTCGTCCAACTCCTTGTAGAATGACTCCATTGGAATCGTAATTACCTAAAAGATATCGGGTGACCATTACAAAAGCATACGAAAAGATATTCCCCTACACATCACGAGTAAATACTATAGAAGTATCAATAAAGTATTATCAGAAGAAACGAAATGGACCGCTGATGAGACTTTGCTATTTTCCGTAGCTTGTTCAAGGAACCTCTGGGAACCTGGGCCTGACGCAGAGAAGCTCACAGTTTCTCGATGCAAGTTTGAAGGGAACCCAGTGGTCCACAACCGCCAATAAAATGCTACTGCATGTGCCAAGGGATCGATGCCTGTACACGTCATAGACTTTCGGTATGACTGCCAGACCTAATAAGACTCTTCGAGACAAAAAACAAACGCCAGGGCGGCAGCGGATGTTTGTTAAAAATTACAAAAAAAAAACAGTAGCAAACGAAATCTATTCACCTATGTCCCTAGGATTATGATATCCAGTGAAATCTCTTTTTTTTCTATTCCATATGTTACATAAACCACTTAAGATTAGTAATCAAACAAATTTTCACTGACCTGTTTGTTCCTGCCCTGGTTCAGCGTTCCGAGACGCTCCATAATCTTTTCCGTGACCAGTGACTAAAATGAATATGAAGCATGTCGTGGTAAGAGAATGATTTAAAGAATTTCCACTAATCATTCGATATAACTTATGAAACTGGAATTTTTTTTTAAATAAGGTTCAAAGTTCATATATACACTAATTTTTTACTCAATCAATCACTGTAATTGCGTAGAAGCCTTCCTAGCTCGAATCGAAAAAGGGATGGCCGTGAATGTGAATGGGGCACAAAGTGAGTAACACGATAAGTACGACAAGCAAACTCTAAAACTGATTGTGAAGCCACTACAGTCCTAAATATATTTGGCACTTCTGGAGATCAGTTAGCGCGGACTGAAGCCAACTAGCTGATCCGCGAGAATCAGTACGATCGGCACATTTTCTACATATGTACATGTGGGTTACAGATACTATGTTTATATGCGATGATGATATAGTACCAAGTGAGCTGCGATACAAATGCCGTTGTTAGCCCTGATAAATAGCCCTAGTCAACCAGAACCATCATTTCTTTAAGGTATCTGGCTCTATCGAGAAGACAACAACATTGACTTGCACATCGACTTTCTCTTCTGGTATGCTACAGTAGCGCTCAAATCTTCGGTGAAATGGTCCTCCGGCCTGCTTTTCAGTCGTAACTCCTTTCCTACTGGATCTAATCATGCAAAATTTCTATATGTGGAGCGTGGGTGTACTGAGAATAATTGCCACTATTAACCTGCAATCTGATCATATCCAGATATTCCAAAGGGCATGAACATAAAACCGAGTGAGAATACAGAAGATGGTCCTTCTAGAATCTCTTTCTTTTTAGTCATGTCTAAAGTGTACGAGCGGTAATGCCGAACACAATAAATGAGAAAAATGCTCATAAGATGCGAATAAGTGCAGACGTCAACAAGTTTACTTTTGGCAAAATCAGCTACCGCAACAAACCCCTTGCTCTATCTGTGGATATAGCAGCTTCGCAGTCAAATAGTGTTGAGTAGGAAGAAATATGCTCTGGTTAAACATGTCCAAATTTCACGCGATTTGGTTAACTAAGAGAAAAGTTATGAACGAAAAAGCGTCAAGGCATTTAACCGAAGACTTTAGAGCGCTACTGTATATATTCTACCCCCGCAGGCCAATACAGGTCATATTAAAACTCCGATTTCGAACGCAATTCAAGTGTGTGGGTACATTCCTAGAAGACCTGATCGACTAGAAAAGGTGTGGCATTTTATTGGCAAACAGCAGCATATCAGTGTACTAGAACTGTATTTCTAACTCCATTTAGGGTGAAGCTCTTCAAAAAGGTGCAGCCTAAATGAGCTACTAACTACAATAAATACAATAAGTGCACATCTCCTGAGTGATCTACGTTCATATAAGGCATTATTGATCGAAACAATAACCTGCCGAAGAAAAAGGATATTGGTCACTCAGCTGCGATTTACATAAAAATCAAAAACAACTAAAATTTCAACGATGATAGAGCTTGCTTATAACATGGAAGTGCTGCTAACAATCCTGCGAGGATTCTTATTCAAAAACCCAATTGTTTTTGGAGTTGTAAATTTGATTTGAAAATCCTGAACAGTACCAGAAACAATACTTTCACCTACCTTTCCAGATGCAGGCCCACCCGCCACACCAATAATACACGGCAATCGCAACTTCCCCATTAAACCGTGTTGCTACCCTGAATTCGAACACTGAGGATATAAAGTAAAAAACGCATGTAAACACGCATTACCGGCAGTAGGATAAATAAACTCAGTGCAATGATGAAAAATCTGAGAAAGGTCATCAGAGTAAACATTATTGGTTAATAAGTGTAATGTAGACATAGGTATCACAGAAGCGAAACATAACTACACCACAGGCATCACAATCAGCAATAAAGGGCAAAATTAGGAGAAATTCAAAGCACTGGCGTCGTATAGCATGCACTGTCTGCAGACTACCTCACGGAAACTGTTTGAATTTTCGTCAGAAGAAAATTCTTTTGCTCCGTTGGATGGATGAGCGCAAGCGGACGTGTCTCTTTCGGTAGTCCCGAACAATCTCCTGGAAATGCCGCAACATGACTTGGAATGGCAAAAATGTCGTGGGAGGGGCAGGCCAGTGCTCTTCTGTTGGACATTGGCGCTAGAGCGCAGAGAAGGAGGGTTAGCCGGCATTTCTTATACCCATAGGCAGTTCTTTTCAGAAGAATATAATTTTCATTTAAGCCTTAGAAGGGGAAGTGGGTAAATGTGATTGATACCCCAGGCAAAAAGCTAGGAGGCGTGGGAATTGTACCATCAATGGAGTCACCCAACACAGTCCTCCTTCCCTCCTAAGTTTCTTCAAAATCACTAGAAAATGACAGCATGGAAGCCTGAGAGAGATACACTGGACTGGAATGCGTTTCAAAAAGTTACCTCTCCTAGGAAGGGATATTTTAGGCCACCCTTATTTTTAGCGCTAAGCGCTGGGGAGAGTGGTCGGTTTAGGGAAGCCATAATGGGTGTTAGGAACGCTTCTAAGTCAGGAAAATATAGTATTTTACCTCATTCCTCAGGAGGAAAGCAGTACCGGTGTGGTTGAGTAAACTGATTGTTCAATCCTAACCCACATCTCAGCTTTTTGCAAAGGTATTCAACTCGCCCACCTCCCTGCTCCTTCCCCACTATGGCTTGAAAAAAAGTATGTTTTCCTGGTTAAGAACCGTCTCTAGCTAAAATTAAAGTTGGCCACTATCCCTCCTCTACACTCCAATGTTCAATGTTAGAAACGCAGAGTGCCCTCCCCAACTACATTTCCACCGATTTCTGGTTTTGTAAACTATGAATGCTTAAAATTTCTCAGCTTTCCTGGAAATGAGGAAACAAAAGGCTAGATAAGCTTTATAGGTCAAAAAAGATCGTTGCAGTTGCAAAAAAGTTGCAAAAGCCCGTTTTACGACAGGATTCCTGCGAATTACGTGAGTGATCCCACTACTGCAAATCCACGCATGGCTCACTTTTCAATTGGGATCTGTTGTTTATAATGCTTTGCAAAATAGCATATAATAAACTTGAGCTCGGTGAAAACGAGGATGCGAAAAGGATACAGAGAATTCCATGAACGTGAAGGAAAAACAAAACGTGGGGTAGGGAAGAGCGAAAAACTTTGGTCGAGAGAATGGACGAAAATAGAATTGGGAAAGAATGCATTGATCGGCGGCTGTCTGGTGGACCGACTTGTCGTTTGACGCAAGTTGATAGTAATAAACCTTGACGTTTATAAGAGATAATCATTTACTCTGAAGTATTGATGCAAAGTAGGAGTAGTGTAGGCTGCAGGCACTGGATCTAATGAGGAGTGGCTTGTGAGTGACCAGAGAGATGAGTTGGTGAATGGAAAACACTGCCGCTCTGCCACATCTGAGCTAGCGAGCCGTCTCTCACTCTCCCAGAGGGTGGTGTGTTCTCCTCGCCGGATCTGCGCGAGACTGAACTCGTGGATCCCGTCATGTGTCGCAATACCCTGGATCAGACCTTTGCAGTAAACACGGATCCGTGCTTTACACTTCCCAGAATGCAAGAACGGGGTGCGGGTCCGCAAAGTAGTAAGGGAGCATAGCATGGTTCAATAAGCATGGCAAACATGAATGAAGGAGAGCCATCATCTGCCTTGGAGAACCTCTCTCAACTAAAGGCAAACTCATCGGCTGTGGACTGGCTTAGCACAAATAAAGGATAAAGTCTTGGGGCGTTAATCATTCTCGTCTGAGAGATGCCCCCACGCATTCGACTTCCATTCAGAATCGTAATGGCTTAATGAATGCAGATATGGCCTATACAATGGCTTGGGGTGGCCAGCCGATGTACAAGTCAATGTTTTTATCCTCCCAGTCGAGTCTGGTACCTGTTAATACTCCGAAGGAATCGAGGGTGGTTGGCCTGGGCAGACATCGACCAGGGATTCGAACCCGTGACGGCGCGTGTGAGATAGTACGCACTTTCCACTTTACCACTTAAATATTTCGGACGTTTGAAACCTCTGAAAAATTCAATGTTCGACGGCCGTTAGCGCAATGGAGAGACTTTTTCGCCGAAGCTATGACGAAAGATATAATTCGTGCGCTTCAAGTGAGCAGTGTAACTTTGTCTCGCGAAAGGGAGGGGCCGTCGAAGAAATTGATAATCAACAGGACGGGAGGAGACACAGATGTGGTGATATGGGTATCGTAAACCTCTAGACAATTATAGTTGTTTTATCTGATACGGCGGCCTCTACGATATTTACCATACCCTTTACGTAACCATATTTCGCAGAGTTCACCTGATAGACATATTAGTTATGCCCATATCGGCCCGTAATAAAAACCCATGACTCAATGATAAGCACCTACATCTTTAATAGTACCGCTAACCATTGATCACTACACATTGACAACTCATTGATTGACAATAACTATAATTGTCTAGAGGTTTGATCATTGATCACTAGTGATACTGAGCCCTGGGCAAGCCCAACCTTTCCCAAAGCCTGAAATCGTGCAGGATATTCAGTCTATACAATGAAGCGGAACGTTGGTTAGTTGATGAGCGCCTGGCCGTATTATTGCTTCGTTAGAAGAGACTGTCAACACTACAGTATTTTGCCTTCACTCTTACTTTATTTTTTCGTTATTTCATAGAGAATAGGGAGAGACGTATTTCAATGCGGCTAATTTGTTGACTGTGAAAAAAGCGTGTTCAGAGCGAAAGCTTTTACTATGATGATCTTATCAATATCACATCATCACCCCTTCCATAAAGTGTGCCCGAAAGTTCAGTCAATTTGGAATAAAACAAAGGGCAATCTCCAATTTTCGTGGAACAATTTTTTAGAGGAGATGAATCTCACCAAAAGATTAAGAATAAAGTTTATAGCGTCTGTCAATCCCATTTGGACGCGCCCGAGCCCCATTCAAAGTCGTAGGGACAGTTTTAACGGGTATTTGGCCTGTACAATGTATTTCGTGAGGTAGCTTATGGTCAATCAGTGGTTTTGTCCTACGCAATGAGTCCGGTGCCGATGGAGCGTCTCTTGTGAAAGGTTTTGATGCTCTAAGCTGATATTTGTCCGGGATTTGAACCCGTGCTATGTGTGTGTGCGATAGTGCCCCTTGCCACTACATCACTTTCCATCCGATGAACATTATTGAATAAAATAGTTGTCACTACATATATTTAATGACTTCTTGCCACCACATGGGCAACTTGCATATTTTTATCATTCATGCGCAAAGTTTGGTGAGAACAAAAACCAAAAGTCGGTCTGAGGGCACTAAGTTAGGGGAAAAGGTGGATACGAAAGATTCTCCAGCTTACAACTAGTTCTGCAATATTTGACGGCTCCCCACGGCAGCAAGTGACCTGCCTTTAAAATCGGCAGTATGCTGTCTTTCTTTTCAAACATCGTCGACCTATTGAACTTGGCAGCTTTGAGGTATTCAGTGTGCTACATTAGTATTTATTTATTTATTTATGGACGCAGCTAAACAACGTGGTGAGACAATATGTGTAGAATGAGCGATACTAATAGCGAGCCGAGCATGTGACAAATAAACGGGTCAAAAATTGTTGTTATGGAAACGTACAGAACCTTCCGGCAGATCTTATATTTTCCACTCACTGAAGTAATTGAAATTTGTCGGTGGCTCAGTACAAATTTGATCTTATCATCGTGGCAAACCTACGAAAAAACCCAGCGTTCGATATCACAAGATTATTGTCAAAAACTTTTCGTGCCTTTGCAAAAGTCATCGCGAAAGGTCTAACGTCCAGCTCCCTTCTAACAGTTGCTGCCAAAGCAAGGTTCCACGACTGGTTCTTTCATGAGAAAAGGACAGTATCCTTGGGTTTTTTTTACATTGACGGGATGCTTACAAAAGTCTCAACCTATTGGAATTTTTTCAGTGCTGGATGTAATGGCATGCTCCCACCATCCAACATTTTCATACTTCTTTGGGTCCAAAAAACTCCTGCTTGCCTCATTGATTGAAAGAATTTGGCTATTCGACAGCTCCATTTTCGAAGGGTTTATAAGGATGGGAGCTTTTGAAAACTGTTTACGACTGATGCAACAGGCACAATGAAAAATACAATAAGTGGCTCGAGTTCACTATGGAAATACAGTGGAGTGCACCGGCTGCTTTCATAGTAAACGATTTGGGGAGCAAATTCGCGCGTCTGGACGCGCGATCGGTCGCTCGCCAAATCGTGGACTATGAAAGCAGCCACTTACAGGCTCATGTAAGTATCCTTCATCACAGTTTAATAAGTCGTGCACGATAGTTGGTTATACGACAGGGTCGTGAGTAACGTATAGGGTAGATTGACAAGGCAGTGGGTACTTGGGCTTGACATCGCCTATGCATTGTATTACGGGGGTATTGCGATGACGAAGGGCAGCATAAAATTAGTAGGCTACGCAGAGTTGCAAAGCCAACTGGAAAATGGGCTGTTGAAATTTGGATGTTGAGGGCACATAGTATACGTGCTGGTGCGAGAAATGACGGACTTTGCACTCGCATTCCCACGGTCGCAGACAGGCACGCAGCAGCGGTTTCGCGGCGATGGCCTCAACCGTCCACTGAAACTCGAATCTCATCCCTACGCTGGGCGGTACTACGCTCGGCCCACACCTCTGGCACGATTCTAACGCCCGTGTTCTCGACGTAACATCCCAGCGTAAATAATTTTTGTATATCGCATTTGTGCATCGCTGGATATGTACATGCCTTATACAGAGGACATGATGATGTGCAGATCGTCTTCGAGTTAGAAAGTGTTAGGAAAATTGAGTCTAAAATGGCTACGTCTGTGTTACGCTGTGCTTTTACAATCATGAAAGATAATGATTTAGTGAAAGTCGTCGACAACATCACAACCGCACTGTAATCGACTAGTGAACGTCCATTTGAGTTCGTTAGTGACCTGTTCAATGAACGATCTCCAACTTTGCTTCAGTGATTGGCTTAATCAGATGCTCGTTTCTTTCGCGAGGAGATCGAAGAAAATCCTGTAAAATAAAGTAAAAGAAAATGTTGATATCATCTATGGATGGCTCTTGAAATCAGCTTTTCACTTTTATTCTCGGGATAATCCCGATAATAAAAATGAAAATACTAGACTCAGACTACCGGCTGGTCAACGTGCTGAAGTGTGCCCTGTGTGCATCCATTGATATCCTTTCCTGGGTCGTTACTCCGTTACAGGTATCCCTTACCAAGTCATGTGCTCTACAAGCCCCGTGTGTTGCTCTACAAGCCCTACAGAAGAGGTATACAATCAGTACAATTACTTGTTCAAACCACGGTGCAAGTCGAAATCAATCGTCTTGGTTAGTATCGATCTGTAATGATTAGTATTACCAGAGCAAAGCAGATTCCTATGATACGCTCTGTGCTACACGAACGCTGTTAGTAACATCCTACCGCTTGAGTTTTTTCCTGTGTGTTACTACCACAGTTCGCAGCGAGTCCCTTATCATGGTCATGAAGTTCTGCTAACAGAAAGGCTCACAGACAGACCAACATTCCGAAAAACCGACAAAACGACACGCTACACTGCTGCTCTAGAAGGGGGATACTACTAGTTGTTTTTTCTTTCGTCTCCTTTTAATGATGGATGATTTAATGATTTTGATCTGCCGTTTGCTTCCCTTCTTTCCTCCCGAATCCCCAGGCGATAAGCAATTTATGGACAAACCTGAATATGTTGAACGATCAAATCGATAGCAACATCGTTTTCTCCTCCACGTGGAATAATAACGTCAGCGTATTTCATTGTTGGCTGACAAAATTCTTCGAATGCTGGTTTAACCTGAAGCAAAGAGGCCTAGCTCTTGAGAGCTTTAGTTCGCAAGCTGAGAGCTCTACTTTATGTAACGCTTTTATTGAATGTTCTAGGAATACGGTTGGGATGGAATAGAAGAAACTGTAGCAAGATATCATGAAGATTCCGAAGGTGCGTGGCTGGCACGTTCATCACTCAGAACAACTGCCTCTTCTTTTTGGGAGTAGCATACATATGTAGATAGCAAACAGGTTCCTATAGGGATCTGTTTTGCTGTCTTCTGAATCCCAATTCAATTAAGTGAGATAATATCAATGACATTTGATAATATTGCTGCTTAACAGTTCTTATAAATCGAAAAGTAAACCGTACCAAATTCGTGTACTGAGCTAGTACCATTGGCAGGGGGCGCTTCCGATGGACAGTGTCACGTCTCACTAAATATCTTACATGTAAGTACGCCGACTAAAGAGTTCAAGTCAACATAGTTTCAAACCACAAAAAAATCGTACGATAGAAGTCTGACACGGGCCCCACCTCTTCGTGCCAATCGAACGTCCGCATCTGCATCGACGAATAGTTTCATTGTGAACTTATCTCGAATACGTTCATCGTAGAATGTCAAAATACCTTCGACAATGATAACATCAGCTGGTTCAAGACAGACGGTACCATTGCTAAAACAACACGAATATTGCACGGAGATAAACCATAGGAGATAGTGGTTAATGATACGTGGAACTGGAACTGCATGGTTTGGAAAGCTCGTCTAATGGTTTTGCTGAGATAAGAGAACTCAAGTAGGTAACCATTAATGGACAACAGATATTCAGCTTCCCTTCTGACTCATAATGGGCATAAGTCATTTGGTATGCAAGGAACAGGAATCGGAAAGGCAAACTGCAACCTACCGTGTACTGGTCATGTAGTCGTACTGAGGTATGACCACCGTGTATCCCTGTTCTAACCGAGATATCGTCTCCACTAATTTGTCGAAATCGAATGCGTCTGGAAGGCTAACTTCTTTTGCTACGCATTTAATAGTGAAAAGGCAAACTCGGNCCCCCCCCCCCCCCCCCCCCCCCCCCCCCCCCCCCCCCAATTGGCCTTGCTGATTGCTAGACGAACGAATGTATGGGTGATTCCTTCATTCTAAAACTACCCGAGTTCGTTGATAACTTACTTCCATCGCGACGACTAAGGTGTGACTTCAGAATTGTCATCCCAGTTCACCCCACTCTCCTGCCCTCTGACCTATATACACGGTTTTGCACGTGGTGATCATGATGGCATCTCCTGACCTATGACCCTCAATTTTATTTATAGTAATGGCTGACCTGGATGATCAAAGTCGTATTCTCCGAGTTCTGCCTGCAATCGTTCCTCTTCATTTAGTTCCTTGTAGAACGATTCCATTGAAATTGTTATGACCTCAAAAGTAAGGGACCAGACTCGTGTAGGTTGAAAAGCACTCGATTACTGAATTCCATGGAGCCAACCGGACCACTGGTGGGAGCCGAGACGAACGATCCAAAATGTCATATAATTGATAATTCGTACCTGTTCTTTGTGAGCTTCGTCGAGCTCTCGAAATCGATCCATGATTCGCTGGATAACGAGGGACTGAATAGCATAGCTTTACTTTACATTGACCCTCGGCTTTTTGTCGCCTGGATTTGAAGAAATCATAGTAAATATAATACTAATTATGTCCTGACTACGATGCAGTTTCCACACTGGATGTTGAAAGTACCTCACATATATTTCAACTTTCCTTTCCTCTTTGAAAAGCAGTAATTTGGTGTGTCAGTTTGTCGGTTTGGTGTGTCGGTATGTCGGTTTGCCGGTCTGTCCGCAAACGTTATGATTACGATAAAGTTAGTGATATGGAAAGCCCAGCTCTTACATTTCCTTCTTATATATAAAGCAGTAAATTGATAGGTAGGTTAATGGAATAGAGTACTGTGGAGTGAAATGGGTAATGTGTAGTTAAGTGGGTACTTCAAAACTGTGATTTCGGACTCTATTAGCATCGTACTATGTACATATGTCTATACGAAAATCGGAGGTAATAATGCGGTTGGGAGACCTTCCCCTTTTTTCAACCTTGCACACTATAGCGCAGATAAGGAGGTGAGCCTATAATAGAGCTCAGGAACGTCGTTTCTTAGCCAAGAACATACAGCTTTTTGACCTAGCTCGGGAGGGATAGAGCGCCAGGGTGGGTAAGTCGATCGGATATTCAACTCATGCCCCGTCCTAGCTTTGAAGTCGGCTACCAATCCTTTTTCGCACTAAAGTCATCATTGTTGAGCAAAGCGAATCCCTCCCCCATCCCCGGCGTAAGCCTATCAACCCGTCTGGTACTATGTATGAATAAAACAGACCTTGCCACATGTTGGTCCTCCTGAAACTCCAATTATAAAAGGTCGCTGTAGTTCCATACGCACCATGAAGTTGAGCCTAGTATATGAATGTAGTAATTTCTGAAAAAAACTGCCATCACAATGAACGTAAAGCATTATTAAGCAGCCCATGCACACGATCGATATCGGATTCAATCAATTCAGTAATGAAAAAAGCGAAGCATTTCGTTAGAGTGTGATAGAAAAGCTCAGGACCTCTGTAGAGGGAATCAGTAGGAGACTGCAATAGGCGCTCACTGCCCCGGGTTTATTTGGAAAGTTTGGAAATGTGGGACTATGAAACTAAATATTCGATGGATGAGCTTCAAAAAAGTGCCCTTCATATTCCCATATGCCAAGAATAAAAAGTTATTTGCGGACAGTTACGTATGTCCTTCCCTTTCAGGCCTTATCCAGCTATCCGACCATATTTCGGTTATTTCCAGTGCTTGCAATATCTCCAGTCTTTATAGATCAGTTTCACAATCCGAAGTTTGGAAGAGCACTGGGTGGGTTGGGTCGAGGCCTTCAGCTAAGAAACCTAAAGTAAAAGAGATGGACTTTCTTCAACTCGTGAGAGGACATGGTAGAGAATTCAAGAGAAAAGTCACTGTGTGCACAACGAAATGATTTTCCAAGATGGGAATGGTGACATATCCACATTGCCTCAAAACTAGGCGTTACAACTCCTTGTCTAGCCTGAGAGGTCCCATGCAGCTATCAGCTTCTGCATGGGTTGAGTTTTGAATTTCTCGGTTTCCAGGCAAAAACCATTATGTTGCAGAACAGCTAAGAGTGCATGCATTGAAAGCAATAAACCAATCGATGATAAGTAAAAGTAAAACACTTTCTCAATGTACAGATGAAGAGAAACAAAAGCACCTTCCAGTAAGGGTCTCATGGAAACCAGAATTTCTAACAAAAGTTAAAAATGGTAGGCCAGTATTTGTGTTCAGTATAGAAATAATAAAGCGCATATTGCTGAATGGCTCATGTTCATTACAGATTGTTATCCTCTGAGCAAACAAAAAGGATAAACTTTTTATCCCTTACTAGGTGTCCTCCTTAAAAGTCAAAATTTGGCAATGTTCTCATTCAATTGCATGCCGGATCCGGTTCCGATACCAGAATGAACGAAGGTGTATCTTCCCAAAAGATCATGCTCCGATATTTATACACCTATTCTTCACTTGTATGACTAGCACAAGGATAACTCTTTGAATATGACTGGAAGAGAAATACGGCAAAAGAAATATTTGATTAACCTTACCGTCATGTCCTGCTTAAGAAAGAATCAGTGGTTGGTTTTGAAGTTAAATACTGAATAAAGCACCAGAAACCGAATCAGAGCATTTTTATAGGTTATAAAAATCAAAATAGAAGATAAAAATGAAAGCACAACCAGCCATCTGAGCAAAAGTCTTTTGAATGGATCATAACGAAATAATCAGCTGATATACAGGGGCGTACAATGGCGATTTCCCATGGCGATTGCAGGCTGCAGCAAAATGTTCGATCGGATCGGTCGCACGGCGACTTTTTTTCCTCCTTGTATTCATCGATCCATGAAATTGTGAAATATACCGATGAAAAATGACGTTGTTGAAGTGGCTGTTGAGTACTGAGCTCGCCCAGGAATATGTGTGAGGTAATTAGGCTGAGTATCATTCAAAACCTCAAGGGCAAGTATCACTCGATATGAACTATCCCGAAAGATTGATGAACTGGTCACCCAGATTACCATGGAGATAAGTATGAGCGATAAAAGGAAATAGCATTGAAGATATAGGAGTCTCTACTCCTTCACTGGCCATGCGATCGTATTTGCCCAGCTTATATGAGAGATACACCTCAACAGAGTCGATGTATTGGTATAAAACTATTCTGGGGAAATGGGGGAATATAGCCATAGCCTGGGCTGTTCCCCATTGCCATCGTTCAGGCCGGCAAGGGGATTGAAAAGAAAATCAATGCATTCATTTGAATATATTTAAAGAGGTAAGAAGGTGGCGTGCATAACACCAGAAGGGCAGATTCAATAGGCAAACAGGTTATTTTCTAAAGCAACCGCACTACTAGCACGATAATCAAGTAACCAGAGAAAAATAATAAAAAATTAATATTATGCGGACCATCTCCCATCTCTCGTTGACTCTTTATCGAAAAAAAATCATAAATTAGATAAAAAAATCAACAAAATCCATAAAGGAGAAGCAATCGCCAAGAAAAGAAGAGTGACATTACCACATAACTATGAGCTCCCCTGAGCTTTGAAAACAGTCGAGGAAGACAATTCACGTCTCATGTGGGTGGATCGAACGGAAAGGAAGTTTTTTTGTCTTTGCTGCAACAGGGCTGCTGCAGCAGAGCTGCTGTTCCGGAAGAAGTGACGTGATGCTAGCTTGACCAGTATTAATTACGGCGGGGCAATGATTTATTCGAAATTGCAAGTATAAATAGCATAGAACTCAATCGGATGAAGGCATAGCATCTTTTCTGAATAGAATCAAGCTGGAACAATGAACCAAAAAACATATTGTTGTTTATTTCTTAGGTGACGTGCTGTACCCACATGATCAGCCGCATCAGCTGGTATTCCTATGAGCGTGAGAATGCCCTTGGACTTTGATCACTTAAAACTCCTATGAAAACTATAATCGTTATTTCGATTGATTCACGAAGATAGAATTTCGTGGGAGGCAAAGCAATCCAATATTGTCTCTGCTACTTGCCTGGACAGCAAATCAAATGGCTGGATCGAGTCCTGGTCAGAATAGCCGAAGCGTCTATTCACTCGGAATGGGAAGAATCAGATACCAGCATCAGACGATAGAAACCATCGGTTTTGTTTTATGTTTTGGCCTAGTCTTGTAGGATTAGACGAGTTTTACAAAGGTTCCTTGCTTGGAGTCTTCGATTACACGAAATTCGGTCAGATAATAATGATGAGGCTGTAAGAGCTTTTTCTGCTCCCTCACACTCGACTTGGGAACTCTACAATGAACTAATTACTGTCGGATTCCACAATCGGTGGCTACCGTACCTGCTAAACAGTTAGAAATAAACATGGGCGACTTTTAATGCATCTTCTCCACTTCACAATGACAGCTCAACACGAAAGGTGATCGAAAATCTCGCCCAGCAAGACCGTAAACAAACTTGCGTGCAAGGAAATTTTCCTACAAAGCTAGTAGCTGTTACTCGAACTTAACTAAGAATGTACCAACTTCTCTATCACTTGCTCAATTCAAAGGTTGAATGACCATCCTTTTACTTAAGTATATGTATTGAATCTTGGCGTTTTATGAGACTGACTATCAGATGTCGTTGCCTTTAGTTATTTACGCTTACATTTCAGGAATTTCGAGTGGCCTTTTAAATTCGTTTGATGCTTCGAGTTTCGATTTCATTCACTCAGGCTATTCGATCTTCACGTGTGCCTTTCGCAAACGTAATAAGGTTAAACTTGTCGTTAGGCCTTGCCCGCCCTTTAGAGGTCATCCTGCTACCATCTTTGGGTATTGTACTTTTCCACACCACAGTATTTCCTTTGATTCGGAAACTCATACTTCAAAAATACCTCAGATTCATTCCTCGGATTTGAGTCAATTCCTCTCCGCTTTCATCCTTTAGAAACAATTGTCCGTGTTTTTCTAACCATTTCAGGACAGTAAATGGAGATCTTCCCTGTCGTAAATCCCTGAGACTCTTGACGTCCTTCACGAAAGTGGAGGGTACTATACAATGAATTGAGCCTTGCTTAGACATAACAAAATTGGGTTCAATGCATTGCCGTTGATCACAATTGTGATAAACAGTGATCATGAGGTGTTGACAAGTGGGATGCTACATGGCCAAGTAAGGTATCGATTTGTTCGAAGAAATTCTGCCGTAAACCCCATCCTTCTCTTTGTTTTGATTGATTGATGGTTTTTTTNTTTTTTTGTTTTTGTTTCTGCTCCTTTGAGGTTATCCCATACTTCTGTGGCTACGTCGCTTATACTTCTGTAGCTGTTTCAGTGGCTTATAACTTGTTGAAAAGTCCCATCTTGTAAGGTGCGTAGACGTATGGCAGCTTCCATCAAAAATGTGCTATCTCTGGATTGACGTAACCCTATATCGACCCAGTTCAGCACAAATCCCTTTCTTCGCCTTTTTTGGATTCTTTGATCATATCTGCAGCCACGCTTATTTTACTTTGCCATAGATAGAGAACAAAACTCCGCCTTAACTATATTGATTTTTGCCGATTTCTGACGGCTGGTTGGACTTTATTTCATCTTTCTCTATTTTTCCACCTCCAGAGTCGACGGTGGCAAACCAACTCGGCTCTTTAGGCTATCCATCGACTAAGGTTTATCTTACCAATGTGTTGGACTATTTCCCTAGTGGGAAATGGGAATCGATTGTATCAGAACTGATGCAGGAGATGTCTGATCAGGCTCTCAACACCGTTGGCCTTTTATCGGCTAAAATCTGCTTACCATTGAGCACTACGTTAATGGTTACTAGGTGTTAAGTAGCCACAGGCGGCACATTACGGATTTCAGGCTACGTTGATGGGAAATGCTAGGCGCAGGCATGCTCCGGGATAAAATCGACTTACCATGTCGTGATCACAGTTTTCGGATGTTTGCTGTAAAGTTCATTAAGGGCTGTACTTCCAGGTCTACTATAAACCTTCCAGCTGATTTCTGTAACTTAAAATGCTTCTTCCTTTGGTTCTCCTCCCGCTGGTCTACATCCATATGCCGGCTAGAACCGATTCAACCAAGCATTTCATGAACTCTTGCACGGCATTGCCCATCACTGCAGCAGGAGATCTTACTCATAGTGCAGATAGTACAAATTGTTGTAAAAATTACTGAGTCATTTGTAAAAAACCTGTAATTACAGCAGCAAATAGCCGAAGTCTCAAAAGAACGATAACGAAAAACGGGGCATTTCTCGGCGTCGTAGTGAAATCGGTGACAAATTTTCACTGCCTTCTTAGACAAAAATATCTCTCCCGATATCTGCACTACAAGGGAATTCGATCATCATTCATTCTCATTCCGACATGCAGACATCGGTGATCAGCCTGCTCTTACACTTCGGCCCGTTCCGTCAGCTCTCCGTTATCAAAGCCAGCGTTTTCTTGCAGGCAACATAATATGTGTGTACATATATGAGCCAACTTATAGAACGTTATTAAAAGGAACTCTCGATGATCTTTAATATCTGGCTTTCTAACTTTTCCGTTTCATCGGTCTCTTCCAGCCCACCTCTTTTGATTCCTTCAGTTGACGTGATTTATTTCATTTATTTCTATGATGGTCTACAGCCTGCAGTCAAGCCTAGCTGTGGATAACATAAGTTTAAAAACTAGAGTTTTCGAGGGAAATTCCGGCTATTTCACAATTGCCTTTATGACAAAGTTCAGCCCAGTCAAGTGACGTTCGCTCTCGGCGAGAGATCTTCCCACGAAGTCCATTGTAAGAACTTCCATCGCTCATCTCTCTTTTCACTTCTGGCTTCATTTTCATCTTCTTTTACGCATACCAACCCTCTTTTTTAACCCATTGGCGTCCGCGCCTTTTATACTGTCCTTACATTAGCTTTTAATTTCTCTTATAACTGTAGTTGGGAATGAATGATTCCTGGACCACAATGCCTCAAGATTCTCTAGAAGCTGTGAGCTCAGGTGATACTTGAAAACATGAAAAAAATTATAAGAACGCTTGTTAGACATACTGCTTATCTCTCCCATTTGCACCCGGGCCTTTTCGTATTACCTCAATACGCTCAATTAAATTTTCTTCTTCTTCTCTCTACCGCGCTGTCGCAGGGTTAGCAGCTCACGTTAGGTTTCACCGCTATCGTTGGCCTGCGACATCCTCTGTCGTTACATTGGTTTCAGATAGGCCTTTCTTGATAACGTCTCTCCAGCTTCCCTTTGGGATTCCTCGTGGTCGCTTCATTTTAGCTTCGAACTCTATGGCTTCTCTAGTTGGACGACCTTGAGTTCTTCACTTTATGTGCCCATACTGACCTAGCCGCTGTTCTCTCTTCTTCAACTAGTCTGCAGAGATGGAGTTATCTGCATGTCTGTCTTGACGTTCTTGCTTCTGACCTGATCCAACCGTGTCCCACTGCAGGCCCATCTCAAGAACGCTAATTTTTTCTTTCATATACCGACATTATGAGGTCAATCTTGTGCTTAGTTATCATGGCCGTCTCTTAAAATTGTAAGTTACATAAAAGCGCTAAACTCGAGGATTCCTCAAATAAGAATTATGATTTACTTTGAGTCGGTTTTATTGGCCATCCAGACTCAATTGCCCGTTTAATCGCATCCCTGAACTATATATAAGCTCATAACACTACCAAATATTAGAATCGATAACGTCTGGATGTCCAATTCTCAAACAGTATCAGGAAAAGCGTTCCGTAGCCAAACACTGTATACAGTGCAGTCCGAGTATTTTGATAGCTGTCGCTGAAGCCTCCCTCCTACGCTCCTTCGCTGTCGTTCCATTTTGGGCCACCGTCGAATTTTCTTCGTCCTTTTTCGTAATGATATTGGAATCTTCTGCAAATTTGATTTGACTTTTGATTTTGAGCAAAATTTTCCGGGTTATTGGGAATTTGTAAAGCCGAGCCGCAGAATTGCGGTTTTTATATGACAACCTTTACGAACAAAAGAAAGTATGAAATTAAAGAATCTCTAACGATAAAGAGAAAACGCTAACCTCAACTCAGAGGGACTGATGGTTAGCACTTCGAACTGTTTGTTTCTTTGTCGACATGTGTGTGAAGCAATCAACGTCGAAAAGGAAAGCTCTCACAGGATGAAAAGTATTCATCCCAGTCCATCCCCAGGGATAGGGCTAGTATTGGTGGCATGATATAGCTCTAGATATCGATTTGTGAGAATTTTATTTTTTTACAACTCGGACGCTTGCCTCGGCGCACCCTCGAGGAAAGCGACTGCCTAGGTAAAAATCTGCGCAGGTCCGCGAGTGGGACCACCGGAGTGCGAACCTTGCGCTCTGAGATATCTCATTTGATAGCTTTACTACTTTTCCATATTTCATGACCCTATTCCATGACACTACTTCATGCTGTTATCCGACGAAGCGGATATTT